TGATCTGAGAAGTCTGATATTTTGCCAGGCGTCTTTGGGGCCTATGATTACCCCTAGAACCGATTTACACTAAAATCTGAGAGATGAGGGTGACGGGCCTGGTACGATCTATCGTGGAATGCCCCAGGTCGCTCGGGCTTTGTCAAGAGGTGACGCCTGCTTCCGGGCTGTTCAGAAGTGTCCCCTGATCTGGGCTGTGGTGTTGTCCGAAACGGCACCAATGGTTCCCGCTCGATGCATTCTTAGTAAATGTTTCACTGAACGGCTTTAGCCCAGTGGCTTTTTCCACAAGTCCAGTGAACTTTTTAACAATATTTTGGCCCTCTTCTGTTCCTGGTGAAATATCATGTTTATAAGGGATCATCGGATGTCCAATTATGGCCAGGAGTGCCTAGTATTGTTATAGGTGGGATCATTTTGTAAATTGCAAAGCGCCATTGCATGTTTTACAACATTTCAGACGGAGCTACCAGCTAGACTTAAGAGTCTCGCAATAAGCCCTATACGTACATATATAAACGCGGCTGCGGTCGGAGTTTTGTAAGGCATTATGAAACTTTAAGCTTCAAGCATGATTATGAACAAGAGTAGGATAGGTATATGAGTGAAGTAAAACTTTGTAGCCACTATCTTATTGATAGATGGAATATGAACACCGGCGTCGGCCGTCGCTACATTTACGTAGGTTATAGGTGTCATTCACAAGGCCACTGGCACGGTCATGTTAGCTCTTCCCTGTTCCTGGTTCCTTCCGACTACAGGCTTGATCAGTTATCATGACAGGCTGTCCGGCCGTGCCGGAAGTTTGTTTACCGCTATCAGCGAACGGTGACGACAGTGTCCGTCCTCTGTGTGCATTGGATCTGTCAGAGTGTCGGAACTCGGAGCCATATAGCCATATTTGTCGACTGTTTTATGATCAGTGGTAGGTGACCCTCGAAGACGGGGATGTGCAATCGTATTGTGCATACGAATACTTATGTGCGATGAAAAAAGACGAAAGATGTCGATGAAAATATGAAACGATATTAACTTCATTTAAACGCATTACACAATTCAAATCAAGCATAAACGAAGTTGAATGTCAATCTAAGAATGTTAACAAAAGTAAGCACAAAAATCACCTTATATGTACAAACAGCTATTCTCCCAGATGGAGTGAACATAAAAAGCTGCATCACCTTTTCAGGCTGCTGACGTGTTTGCCTGATGGCCGGCATTCCATCTCCGCTCAGCTGGCTGGTGCCGGGTGACCTTGAACGTAATCAGCTGACGCGTCTACGTGCCGGCTGCTGCCTTCACTCCGTCTCTTGAGCGGCTCGCTGCCACGTGTGCACGAGGGAGCGTGCGGTGTGCGTGTGCGACGTATGTGAGCTGCCATGATTAGTGCATGCGTATCGGTGCCATGAGGACAGTGGAAAGTCAGAGACAATGGGTGGTGTCTTATCAGCACTGCGTGGTTTACGAACTGCATCACCGGAGCCTGCATCGCCCCACCGCTCTGTGGTGCAGGGAGATCAAAGCGAACCGGCGGAGCCGGAAAGTTCACACATCTGCCAACACTCTCTGCCGCGGACTGACCTACACCGCTACCTGAGCAACAACGACACAGACCACCCGAGTGGTCTGCCGATTGGTCTGTGCTCTCTGGCTCTGCGCTACTTTCTGCCGGAATGTGAGCTGGAGCGGTACCTGTACCGTCTCACCACCGAAGCCGAGGAAAGCACCAGCTTAGTCGACGAGTGCTCCTCACAGGTGCGCAAGCTGCTCACGGGCTCGTCATCGGAAGGACTTGGAGTGCCGATGTTCTGCTCTCGAACCTTCGCCGGCGGTGGTGAGACGATGTGTGACGCACCACTGACGATCCCGACTCCTGACACTCCTCCGGGGGAGCAGGGCGACGGGCCGGTCGTCACCACGTCGGACAAAGACTGTATGTTCGAGCTCGGCCAGTTCCTGGTGGCGCCAGAGCGAGGCGAGGCGCGCCTCTACATGGACGAGCGCAGCGCCAGCCATCAGGGCTACGTCCATGTGCTTCTGGATCCTGACTGGTCACCATCACAAGAAGGTGAGATATCTCGGATGCCTTCTGATCAGCTGCTGCGGCCACTGTCGGTCGAAGACGGCGCTGCGCCTGAACAGAGGCTTTGTCTCTCCAGTGACGCGCTCATGAAAGTATGGCATGACAACAATCAGTTCTCAGGCACTGTGGAGCGACACGGGCCGGCAATCAACTCTATACAGTTGCTTCACGGGATGCCGGTCGACTTTGACAGCGTGCCTGCCCTGCGGCTGACGCGACCTCCGCAACAGCTCTTAGACTGGCTGAAACGCATTGATGAGTGTGGCGCTCGCTGGCCTCCAGAAGAGGTTCGTGAGAGCATTAGATCAGGCACCGAGGCCACGGCACACCTGGTGGCAACCGGGCACGCCAGCAGCGCGCGTAGAGACCTAGAGTGGCGACTATCCTTCTCCGTGGCCGAGAAACGACTGGCACGTACACTGAACATCACACAGCGCAAAGCGTACTTGCTGGTGAAGCTGGTGCAAAAGTGTTTCCTCGCACGTCCCAAAGTGCTCGTCACTTACCACCTGAAGACGCTGATGTTTTGGGAGCTGGAGACAACGCAGCACTACTGGTCGGAAGAGCACCTCTTTGGGCGTGTTCTTGGTCTTTTAGATCGAATCGACGCCTGTTTGTCGGAGCGCCGCATTCCCAGCTATTTCTTCCCGGAGAACAACCTCATCAGCGACTGCAGTGCAGAGGACGTCGCAGCCGTGCGAAGGGCTCTCGGTTTGGTCCGTGGGGATCTACTCCGTTCGCTGTTCGCCATCGACGCTGCCGTGCGCTTTGAGTTCTCGACCGCTACCCCGTTGATAACGTTCCACGAGCCCTTCCTGAGCGCCATCGCTGCTGGCGTGACGACACCATCTATTGCAGAGGTGGCGGCTACAGCAGCGTCGGGACTCATTCGTCAGGCTCGAGATGGCCTTCCTCGAAATAAACATACGCTGGCGCGCTCCAGCGAACTGCTGCGAGACGCGCTTCAGCTTCGTTCGGCAGCCGGAGCAGCGGCGCCGCGCGAGGGCGACTGGTTGATGATGACAGCAGTTGCGCTGTGCGCTGCCAATCACCGTGATGAAGACGTTTGGGTAAGGGACGTGCTGTGGAAACGGGTGGTCTCGGCCGAGGATGTGCCGCCGCTGACTGAGAGGCATGTTCAGCTGTGGGAGGCCGTCTGTCCGAGCGGACTGCCACCTGGGCAGGAGAGTCCGTTATTGGCCCTGATAGGATCGTGCCTGGATAGTTACGGGGATCTCATCGATCGGCGTGCCATTCAAGAGCTGTTTGACGATTTCATTGGCTCAGATAAACCCCGGCTTCCAAGCGAGAGCTTAACAACGCTGATGATTGCAGAAGAAACGATAGAGGAAGTGATCGATCACCCTCAGCCCGTCAAAGTCCCTGGTCAGGTCAACATGACGGAACACTCAACCGAAGGCGATGAGTCTTTGTACAGCATGGTCGCAGCAAAAACGTCATCAAACCGTTCTCAGAATGAAGCTTGGCAACGGAATGAAGTGAACGAGCTCTGCTCCGTGCTCCAGTCTTTGGTAATGGACACCTTCGAGCTGAACAAAAGCAGCATGGAGATAATCACTCGGAAGCTAGTAGAAGCTGGCCTTCCCAAGAGCTTGGTGCTTCAAGCGCCGTCACGATTTGGTGCGGACCTATGCTCGATGACTCTGGCAGGTTGGGATGAATTCGGTAGCGGCTCAGTCGTCCACAGTGGACGTGGAGATCAGTTGATATGCAAGTTCGAGCTCATTGACTTCCTTGAAAGTGGCAAAGAAATGCTGCTCGATATTGACGCTTATATGGAAGACCATGTGAACAACACGACCACTGCGTTGTTGGACACTCTGTGCTGTCTGCTGCTGAATGGACACTATAAACTTGCCAATCGTGCCGCCAGCTGGATGAAAGAGTTGAGCGTATCGCTTTCTGAACACGCCAGCAAAGAGGATCGTGGTAGGATGACCTACAACCTCCGCAGGTCGTCTCGCTTTCTCGCCTGTCTGCCGGAGGCGATCCGGTCCCTGTTGCTGCTGAGTCCCTGCGAGATCAGCCTGCCAGCCCTGGACGTTCTGTTCATGTACGCCGCTCCACTGCTGGAGGCGACAGCGGAGGAGCACGAGACACCGGACTCACCGTCACCGGAGGAGCGCGTGACGGACGTGCTGGTCACCTGGGAGGAAGTGGTCTGCGAGGTAGGACTACAGCCGCTGTCCGATGCCGCGCGACTCTCGGATGCCGTGCTGAAGCTGTGTCTGGTGAGACTGGCCGGAGGCACGGAGCGACAGTGTGCCGAATGTCTGACAGAAGCCGAGGACCAGATCGGTGGAGAGGCCACCGTGTCTGTTCGACGGGCACTCGCCGAGGTGTTCTCGGTAAATGGGTGATTCCTCTCTTATTGTGTGCGCTTGCGAAATCTGCATCGTTGTGATCTCTGTGACGCCAAAGAGGTTTTTAAGCGTTTTTAGCGTTGGTTCAGCTATCATTATCATCATTATCCAGGCTTTGTTCATGACAGTGAGCTAGAGTAGCCAACGTGTAATTGACGTGGTTTACGACTCCCATACGTACGTGTAACGTTTTTGAAGCGCTCAAACAGGGGCACTTTATGGCTGATGCAAAGTTTGAATGTTAGAGTTTTCAAATCTAATCAAGAAATAAAATAGAAGTTGCGTTGTTGTTAATATTTGAAGCCAGAGATACTACGATCATTATCCATGGTGTTGGGGTCTTTCTGAATTTAAAAAAATCTAGAAGTTACACCGATTTTGTAAAATAAGGTTTTCAAACAGCTCTCAGTGGTGCAGCCTGGTTGCAAAGTTACCGGCTGAAGTGTCGCCACGGCCGAAGGATGCTGAGTAAAACTAGAGTACCTATTGCACCTAGAATTCCCATTTTCGGATCCATCAAAACAAAACACAAATCGAGGCTTTCTTTTATCATTGAAGTAACACTATTTACACAAAATCAGGCAAAGAAAACGATGCAGTTGCTGTGACATGCCTTCACACTTATCTGAACACGTGCAAGAAACAATAACGGTCTAACAAACATGGACCTTGTGCAGGCCCTTTCCACAGACGAGATTGCAGCATCGTACAAAACCTAACTCGGCACATATAAACGAACGGTCGTCGCACCTGCGGACGGTCAAAGAATCTGTGACGTCACTACTATGACGTCAGACGACGGGCTTATGACGTCACAGACGAGACATCAGATTCAGAATCGTTACATTGTTTGGTGCTATGATCACCGCATACTACACCGGCCTGCTCCACGACACTCGGTTTAATTTCTGACGGACACTGCCACTTGTACTCGCAGTTCGTAAAAACATGCCATCTCCATTGCCTCCGGGCCACGCGCAGGAGCGCTCGCTTCACAGATTACAGCGACACGACAATATGCAATATGCAATATGACAATATGGACTTCGAAGTGCCCGCACTTCGCAGAAACATATCGCCCACTTCCGTCTGGTATTCAGCCAGGATGTTGACTACTTCACACAGTATGCCCGCATCGCCTGACCCGACGCACTGAGCGCGGTACTCCTGGTCACTGCGGCCAATCCTGATCCCGCACCACCCCCGCGAGATCGTTCGGTTCGCTCGGCTCACATTTGAGAGGCACTGGGCCCCAATACCCGGATAAGGACAAAGGTTAGCTTAGCTGCATTATATTGCCATCCGTGCTCTGCAGACCAGTGACACACGCGATCGCTGGAACGGAACGCATGGGTAATGAACAAATCCAGCAACACTTGCGAGTCAACCATATAATACTGTGGCGAGAGAGGAGCAGTGTGTGATTTACGGAAGCGCCATTATGTGAATTGTGAGCCAAAAAGCTGAAAGCAGTTTTTTGCAATGAAGACGAGTAGGTATTCGGAGCATCACTTTTTATAACTGAGCAATGGATCTATGTAGATACAATGACCGATGCTACTTCCAGCTACATTTTAGGCCATCCTTATTACGACAACGGTACCTAAACAGGGAGTCAGCTTGTGTCTCTATGCGCACTGCTTCAAAACAAAACGTGAAGTGACGCATTCATTCTGCAGCGCAACAACTGCAACCTCACACACTGCCGCACAGACGTCGCTAGCGGGGCAGCCATTTGTGGTCCTCTCACAGAACCAGCTATGGAGCCACGAGGCACAGCTATCTACGAAACCGCGTTACGTATTGACAGGTCGGTATACCGCCGAACGCACACAGTTAGTTACGTATTACGTTTCGAATCACATACAGTATTGCGTGTCACATGTAACGTGCACAAACACTAAAGGACACTCACCCGCACTTTATCGCTGTCCGCGTAATTACGTGTACGTATCTGCGCAATTACGTAATGTGTGTTTAGTGTTTACGCACTGTGTTAGCAGGAGCCGACGAGTGGCGACTGCCGATTGGGAAAAAGTAGGTAAGCTAAGGCTAGATCACATCTACTGCTTAGGTGGTCTCGTAATACATATGCATATCATTCCGCACTTGAGCACAACCTGTTTCTAGAGATGTGTCTTATAGTCGGACCCAATGCTCAGTCATATTTTTCATGGACGCAGCCGCAGGACGGTAGTCCACTTGCTGCATTAGATCGGAGGGTTTCATTTCCGCGGATTACTCTAAACGTAAGACATAACTCAGTGCTCAATTAATCATTTTCAGCTTAAGAACATTTCAAATAGGTATCGAATCGTACTTATCCCTTGATTGTGTCTCTGTTCAAAAAAGATAATAACTTAAACAACAGAAGTTGCTCGTCGCAGCTTTTGTCCGTTCGCAACTTTCAAGAAGTAAATGAAAACCTCTTGCCGAGTTGGATTTCCTTGCCTCGGTTTAGACCGGCCCTGATATTATGTATTCTATTTGGGAGTGATACCATTTTTTTCATTTGGTGATTAAAACTGTAAGGGCGAAGGATTTGAAGCCTCGTAGTGCTCTTCTCATCTTGCGCAGTTTGATGACGGTAACCCGTCCATCACCGACCTAACAGCCTGGAAACAAAATAGTACGCTGTCACTCTTCCATAACGCTATGCTCGTGATCTCGAACCAGTCGGCTCGCCCACGTCCGAGCGAAATCTCGCTACCGTTCCGCGCAGCTGGCGATACTATATCAGCGGAAACGGTGGCGATCACATAATGTACGATACCATCGCGAACCTAGCGGACTAGGGGTGATTCATCCAGAGTTTATATGCCTTCTGCCTGCTGATAACACTGGGGGCATTGGGGACGGCCAAAGCGAGAAGCGATTGTGTTTTACAAGGAGCAAACAAAACAGTGCCTGCATGTGAACGTTTGTGCGCCCTGTGATGGGGCACTTCAACGACGGTCGTTGAGTCATTTTACTTCACTTTGTCATGAAAACTTAGGTCTATATCTTATCACTTTTTCCTCAGCATGCATTAGGATGTAGCCTAGGTGTGTATATGCACCTAATATTAATGGCTCACCTGGTGGAAACGGTCACTTCGCCTCTTGCTGAAAGACCGGTGATTTATTTTCACTGCAGTGCAAACTTCTAACTTCCCGGAAGAGTCTAGCTTATGTCTTTTCGCCATTGCTGCCACTTCTATTGCAGTGTGCTGGTTTTCTGCAACTGTTGATAGCTACTTGGTCTTGCTATACTTTCGCCAATTGATGTGTGTCATCTTCGTGTTAATATGCACCAACAAAAACATTCACGTACGTATTTAATGTTTTTCGTCTCACCACATTCACTTTTGGATACACCAGCTCAGCAAGCCCAATGTCACTACTTATTTACGTCCCCCGGCACATGGTCTGCTTTCGACACGGTCCATCCTGCGTTCAGCGTTAGTTATGAAGCGATCTCACTGTCTCGATGGGCTGATGAATACGTTTCTAAGTCCGGACATCCACCGGTGTTAAAGCAGACGCCATGCGAGAGGGCGTCGTGAAGGGATTTCGGTCACTCCCCAAGCACTGTCACTTCAGTTTCCTGTAACCTGAAAAGGAGGAAGAGACATCGATTAGAATTTAGAATTATGCGGAAAGAGTTTGTAAACGCACAGTTTGCACACGCTGATTGCATAAATTGCCAATGATACCATTTGAAAAAGCGAACCGATCGACTTTGGTAATGAACTTTTGATATGCGAAATGGCAGTCTTTACCAGATTTTTATTTGCTGATACATAAACGTTTAGGTTACTATAAATTTCAATATTTCCACTCGTTTCTGCATGTATTCGCTCCCACCGGGAGGCGACTCACTGCGTCTATGGCTGGCTGGACGGCTGACGGGGGGCGGGACCGGGTTATTCGGACGGCTCAGCGTCCGAGAGCAGCTGCCCGGGGAGCGACACCCCTCCTCCGCCTCCAGCGCCGGGAGCCGCTGCCAGCAGCGCGTCGCCCACCAGCTGCTGCGGCTGCTGCGGCTGCGGCTGGTGGCTCGGGTGGCTCTGCTGCAGCTGCTGAGACTGGGGCTGCTGCGGCTGGGTGTGCTGCTGGGGCTGTGCTTGCTGCTGCTGCTGCTGCTGCTGCTGCTGCTGCTGCTGCTGCTGCTGTTGTTGCTGCTGCTGCGTCTGGTGCTGATGGTCGCTCCCCTGCTGCTCACTGTCGCTCGATTTCTCTCCATTTGAGGCCATCTTGCTCGCCTGCGATTGTTTCTCCTGCTCGTTTAGCTCCTTGATGGCCTGGATCTCCTTTTTTAACTTCATGCGCCGGTTCTGGAACCAGATCTTGATCTGCCGCTCGGTGAGGCAGAGCTGGTGGGCCATCTCTATCCGCCGCCGCCGCGTCAGGTAGTGGTTGGTGTGGAACTCCTTCTCCAGCTCCAGCGTCTGGTAGCGGGTGTAGGTCTGCCGACCCCGCCGCCGCAGGCCATGGGGCCCGTGACCTGGAAGAGACGCGTGGGGTCAGAGGGGTCAGGCCAGGGACTTCGGAGAGGTCACGATTTCGTTACCGACTAAGAGCGAGACTTTGAACGGTTCAAGCTGCTCGGGTAAGTCACATTTTGGAATCTTGATAAATTGTTTGTGGATAATGGTGACTATTACGCTTCAGTATGCAACACTAAGAATAGACGCAAATGTGGGCACTGAGCTATTGCGACATAAGACCCCAGTTCGGCGTTATCCGATTGAGCTGTTGGCGGCGCCACTCCCGCGTCATCTATCATCTGCTAGCAGCAGTTCAGTAACCGATAGTTCTATTCTCTGCCACCAGGTAAAGTGCAGAACGAGCTTCCACCCGCTGCGTTACGAAGAGCGGGCTCGTTATTTCAGAATGGTCCCCATAAATACACGGGACAAGGCTGCAGAGAGCCGTGCAAGTATCACTGGGGTGAATGGATGCGGGCAAGGGTCACTGGGGACACGGATCTCCGTCAGAGTCGAGCGTTGTCGACCCAAATTATTGTGGAACGGTACTAACATTGGCACATTCCGCTCGTTGAGCTCGGACAATGCTACAAATGATGCGTGCAGTTGCAAGCCTTAATGCAATGTGTGTGTGTGGGGAGGGAAAGGAGGTAAGTTTTGGCTTCAGCCTTTGAAACACACAGCCTTTGATATATCTTACCTAAAAGTAAGATATATTCGCAATTTTGTGCCCGCTTATCCAAGTTGGTATGTTTCAAATACCTAATAAAATTCGTTTCAATTCAAGTTTTGAGTAACTGATTACCGAACACGTAACGGAATACCTACGTCGAAACTAACGAATGTGAAAAGGATTGCACTGTGTAAGCTGGCGTCGGCCGTCACTTTTCATTGTCGTGAGAACGAGTTAACACTAGTCCATCAGCATATAGGTGGAATCGAGCTGAGGGTGCTCGGGTGCAACAAATCTGCCGCCGCCCTAGCGGTAGCCTTGACCGCCACCGTCTGTTGCGGCTCCAAAGCCAAGCCGGCGTGGCATTAGGAAAGCTCGGGTACCCCCAGCCCGGCACAAAGTTTTACCTATTCGATCCCCCTAGTCGATCTTTTTATCTTTCTATTGTTAAACATTCATCAACGTTGAAATGCTACGTCTCCTCATGCTTTCCCATTGGTGGAGAATGAACTTACAATCAGGCATAGGCATGTGCATTATGTAATGTATATATACTATATGCATCATGCAATGGCAATGTGCATTTGAGACATAATTTTCTTTTGGAAATGGTTACATAAATGATGGGAAAAATTTATTCTGCAGTTTCAGGACGACTGATATCAGTAGTGGCGGAACACCTTCAATTAAAGGGAGGGGGGGGGGGGGGGGCGCTGTCGACTTTTGGTCCTATTTTTTCCATGCAACGCCCATAGGGCTAATGTTAAAATGTCAAAATCAAAGGGGGGGCATGGTGCCCCGGTGCCCTCCCCATTCCGCCGCCTATGACTGATTTGCAAATGAAAGGTGTAGTGTTCCTGATACGTCTGTTTCTTATCTGCATACGATACAAAACACCGAACGATTCTCATATCTAAAGCATTGAAAATAAATAATGTAGCCGTTATACTTACTTTGAAGCCACGCAGGTACGTTCGACCGGTCGGAAGCTGAAACAAACGAAGAGGTAAGTCTTAGACAAAACGTTAGGCATGTCTCGTGTGATGTCTCTTCACGTGTGTTACGTGTGGTGTGTGTGTGTGGGGGAGGCGCACCGTCTTTTTTCAATTTATTTGACATTGAATTAACCCGCGCTCCGCTGCCGAGCTACGCGGGGGGCATTCGCCCCCCCCCCCCCCCCTAAGATCTCGAGAACCACGCAACATAGCGACAAGCAGCAAACAGGATTGGATAGCGCTCACGGGGAACTACCTGAGACCCAATTTCATTGACCTCGGTCAAACTGATGACGTCACAGGTCAGATCAAATGTCGAATTTTCACCTTTTACAGGCAATTCAAGAAATTTGTTGTATATACAATCGAATATTTTACTGTCATGTCATTCGGAATCATGTCATGTCATTGGAAATCATCGATGGGGAATTGCTCGTCAAACATATATTTTCCTATTTGAGGTCACTGATACCAGGTCAGGTCACAGAGGTCAGGTCACTGAGGGTCACAATATGAAAATAATCATATGTGATGCATGTTTTATGGTCCATTTTATATGTCAAATGCGATTATGGGGGTCAGACAGCCTTTGGGGCAAGTTTAGGATATGTTCCGGTGAAGGTCAGGTCAAGGTCAGGTCAAATTAGGTCAAATTTAAACTTGATAGATTGACGTCATCAATTTTGAACAGTTTGTTTCGCTCTAACTTAGCCAAAAAAGGAGGTATCTATCTAAAATTTGGTATGTAGATAGAAGAACACAGGGACTATCATATATATTCCGTTTTTTTCGAAATTTGAAAAACTTTTGGGATTTTTTGTGTTTTTCAAAAAAATCAATGTTTTTGATTTGCGGGGTCAAAATCACAAAATTTTGAGAATCCGATATAGCAGTTTTGTAGCGCCGTCTTTGTTCTACACGACCGCATAAAGAACTTTGAAATTGCTTGTGAAATGTGAACTGTAGCTTTTGTGGGCGTTTCAAGATTTCATGTTTTTTGCTCATTTTTGCTCGAACATGACCTCTGTTTGACCTCAATAACTCCTGATCTAAGGTGACCTAAGACTTTAAATTTTGTGTGGAGGTGTCAAATTGATGCTCGGGAAGGTGCTGAGAATTTTGCGGCGCTGCGCGCCGCCGTTTTCTGCTATTCAGGAATAACCACAGGGGGGGGGGGGCATATTGTCCCCCTCCAACGGGGCAAGGGTTAATACGTCAGAGACGGATCATTTAAATAGCAAAAATAGACTGAATATAGTCTGACAGCCTTAACCAGTGCTTGGCATGCTTATGAATATCAAGAATATGTAAGCTATTGAGTTAGTGCTTAACCCGGCAGGCGGTGGGCCTCCCGGCCACCTTCCGCGCGGTGGGGGGGGGCATTTTTTGCCCCCCCCCTGTATCTCCGAAACTACTGGACGGATCCGCAAAATTCAAACGGCGTCCGATAGCCCTGTCAAATCATACAGAGGTCTATGGGTCAGGTTCTCGCGACCTGACTGATAACAGGAGTCACCTTCTTTGAAATGGCATGGTTCTAATAAGGTACTTAGATCCTGTTCCTCCTCCAAGAAGATTGCACACCTCGACCCTGGCCGTGATGGTGCCTCCCCGCATCAATTGCCTTTTATTAGCCAGCTAAAGTACACTCCCATAATTAAATTACGAGTATTGGTATGAGATTCACTCGCAATTAACGTTTATTATTTTAGTTAATAATACCGACATCTGTCGAACTGACTCCGAGTTGCGAAACCAATCCTGCCGAAGTTCATCGATCTGCTGAAATTGCGCCATGCCTGGTGGTTGTTACTGCACAGTTTCATCATTGTATTATAATAAATTCATTATAAATAGCTCAGACTTTCTATTCGCAGGCGATTTCCATCGTCCCCATCGGTCATTGACCTACACCGGCGGACTTAATGGGTCAGTGACGCAGTGGGGACAGTTGCGGCGCGGCGCCGGCGCTGGCAGCGCACCTCACGCAGCCGTTGCTGGCGAACGACCAATGATCGACCTGGGCGCGCGCTGATTGGTCCGCGGGCCATTCGGCCATTTTGAACCGATATTCAATGCGGGTTGAACGCTCGCAGAGTCGTGTGCTGGGGAGTGGCTCCGCACAAAGGGGTGCGGAGTCACGGTTCAGGGGAGGGAGGGGGAAGGGATGACGAGGTACGCCAAATGACTGCATACTGGAACCAGATATGGAGCATTATGTCTTACCAAGAGCGAACACAGATAATAAGGCAGGTATGCTGTTCCCGAGGACATTTGTAGGTATGGAACCAAAATCATTTAGCCGATTTTCCTGGATGCCAGGGCTTCAGCCTTCTCGGTTGTATCACGCTGAACTCCATCCCCAAAAGATAGGTAGGTAAACGGAAAACCTATGCATGTTTGACCTGACGGTGTGAGAAATGACATTGGGCTAACCATATCAGTAGGCGGAACTATGGTCAAGCGTACCCATTTTCGGGAACGCATTTTCGTTCCCATGTTTGGGAACGATAAACCCAAATATGGGAACGCCATGTAGGCATTATTTAAAACAAGAAAAAGAACCGTTAAATGACGTCCAAAAAATATAAAACGATCGTGAACCGCCTGATCGTTGTCTCAATATTGTTGGGAAAGAGTTTGATATTGTAAGGCCCATCGTAGTTTCAAATCGTTCCCCTATTTCTAAAGCAGTCCATCACCCGGGCCGCGAGCCCAAATTTGGGAACGCTCTCGTACACTGGCGCTACAAGCGTTCCTTATTATGGGAACGGCGTACCCAAAATTGGGAACGATTTCACCGACGCCTTTCAGGGGCTCTTTTCATTAACAAGCATCACGTCCAACGCCGCAAATTATTGGTAACGCAACAATCATCAGATGACCTTTCCGGCAAGACCGTTGCATGTTTCGCCCGGTCTTCTGCGCTTTTATTCCCGTCGATCTCGCAGCGGGCACGCCCCCCTCTGCAGGATTACGTAATCCACAACGCTCAGCGATGTTCAACAAGGTCTTCCATACCTATATCCACCGTCCGCGCCGAGGGTGGAGACATGTCAAGCACCTGTCTGCTAATCACCGAGAGTTGACGAGCACAAGAAGTATCCAAAAATGGGAACGCTGAATATGTTACACCCTCAAAACACCTAGTCCCAATGAAAATCTAGTTTTTTCCTTTCTTAATGAGTGAAAGTGGCAAAAGGCCTGGTAGGATGGGCACGAGGAATGATCGAAATCAGCATAAAAATTATAAATAAGCCACACAGAGCGACCTATATCAGAGAAATTCCCCCCAAACGATCATGCTTAGAAACGCCGAAGACAAAAACCACGCTCATGACGCTGCTTATAAAATAACGCTAAACAGCTAGCATCCAAATAAAATATGTCTTTCCGGGCTGATAAGATACAGCTGAATGATTTTAAACCACTGAAACTGAGTTTACAACAGTAGTTCGGTAAAATCACTGACGTTCCACGCGGTCGTGCGCCCCGACACCAAAAGTCAACAATATTACCTCGGGACTGTCCGCGTGTTCGCTTGCATATGTCAGCATCTGGTGTCGCTAGAATGAAACTTCATAACCAGGCGAAAATTATTATACTTGACCTCAAAATGTAAAAAATGCTTCATTTTCCTTTAAATTGCATGTTAAATGTCGTATAACCCATATTTCCACCATTCTGTCATTTTTAAAAAATCATTAAAAATATCATTCCACGGTCAATTTCCTTGTTCCACGGTCAGATTAAAGATAACTTTATGGAGATTTAGTAGATACTTAAATCAGCGTGCACTTTTTTGAGACGTGATGCACTTTTGAGTTTTAGTGGGCGAACGGCCGAAAAATTGCCTTCCGTTCTCATAAATGGGAACGCCCGTTCCCATATTTGGGAACTCCGTTCCCAAAAATGGGAACGTTCCTATATTTGGGTACTCATGACCATAGTTCCGCCTACTGATATGACATTGGGGCTATAGTGTCCGTGTGCTGTGTCTGTGTGTTTGCTTGAGGTCCACGTATGCAAACATGTCTTATCCTCCGGAAACCGCGCGTCGCGTCTACTCACCTGCCATGGCCATCCACGGGTAGATGGGGGTGCTGGCCGGGTACTGGGCGGCCTGCTGACCCAGCTGGGCGCCGTGCTGGGCCGTGCCCTGGCTGCACGCCGCCAGCCAGCTGGAGGCCGCCTGCTGGCCCAGCCGCTGGCGCTCCTGGCTGCTGGCGTCCATGGCAAACCTGCCCACTCCGCCGACGGAGGCGCCGACGCCGCCGCCGCCGGCCGCGCCACCCGGCCAGCCGGCCGCCGCCAGCTCCTTCGGCCCATAGCCGGGCGACTCCTTGGCGCAGTCAACGCCCTTATACCCGGCCGGTGACACATCTCCGGAGCCCGGGTACAGTTTGCTGACGGCCGACGGGTCGAACGGCGACTCCTGGCCGCTGCGTGCCGCCGCTGCCGCCGCCGCCTGGTTGTAGCTGGGAAAGCCCAGGAAGCCGGCGGGGTAGGCGGCCTGCTCGCCGGCACCCCGCTGGTAAAAGCCGCTCTGAAACACACAGAGACAGCGGGTCAGGTCAGGTCAGCAAGCTGGACAGCCAGGTGGATGTGATCGTATACACTGGCTGTCCTAGAAAGAATTTACGCGATTTGGATGTGGGGCTGAGTAGAGTATCAGTAGAATGTCTCTCATACGCACGGTATATTTGGCTTCCTTATAGGGAAACGCGTCATTGAAAAACAGGTATCGAAATTGTTCCCCGCAATCATTCTTCGAAAATTTAGATGGGATGGAGCGATTTACCAAAGCGCGAGCAAGTCGCTACTGCATATCTTCAGCGGCTAAGTCGAAGACGTTTTTGGGCCAATGGGCCAGTTCACATCACCAGATGACAGCTTTAACTTCCATTTATTGGGCATTGGTCTGACCTTTCTTTACTAATATCGCATGAACAGCAATACGCATATGAAAGTTTTCTTTGCATTCGAATGATATTTTCGGTGTACCTACCCGACGCAACGCCTGATGCAGTATTTCTGTATCTCTACGAGCTGCAATTTCTCCCGCTGCACAGACTCAATTGTCTACTGCTAACATAATTTTAAGTCCAATATCCTAGCGTTTCCGATATCCGGACAGCTATGGGTATTTATGACGACGATGCCATCGCGCTCAGCTGAAGCAGCGACATTCTGGGGCGCATCACTATTCTTTGCCGGAGAACGGCCGAGCTCCCGGACCATCTGTGACGCCCATGCAGTATTGACCGTAAACCTAGTTGGTGCCGCCGTCCAGAGATGGCAGCAGCGTCGCCGCCGAGCCGCCCCGGGCCAGGACGACGTTCATTGGCTGCCATAGCTCAAGGTTATGGCAGCTGACTGCGGGGAGAGCTCAGCGGAGGGACGGGTAGAGGGGGAGGGGAGGGGAGGGTCCGGTGGGCAGACAGAGGGACTCCAACCTCGGAGCCAAGTTGCCAGGGCTGACGGCAATTCAACCCCCTCATGCATGCATACAATTTTATTTTATATAATTTAGTTTGAACACTGAACAGAGCAGGACTGGACCAGTCACCTGTCCTCTCTATCCTAATACCGTCTGCATCCTTGATCATTTTACTCTGTACGAGATGACGGTCATCCCATCGGATATCCCGTGAAGATAGCGATCTAAAAGCAGTATGCTCATCCGGGGTTACCGTTTGAGTTACGGGTGACCTGTCCCAAGGAGGATGAACTGACCCGATGACCCGCGCCCTCCCAACGGAATGGGCTGAGCCGCTCCAACCCCAAAGTCGCTGTTCGATGCAATGCAGGATGGCTCCCCATCTTTTGCATTTCATATGCGTATGTGTAAAAATGGAAACGCACTCTTAGTTTTAAAGGTAGTGTGCCACCTTTGAAAGATTTCCCATTTTATTTTTCCTAGGACAAGAAGCTTCTGTTTTTACCTAATATCGCAAAAAAAAAATCAAAAATGGGCCTGGAATAGTGCCTTTTTCGCCTAAAAGTTTATCGGTTTTTAGATATGCATAACAACTGTAGTGGGCTCACCTGCAAACAGGCGTCGGGCAACAATCGCGAATGCGGCGCACTCGTGACAATAAGCAAAGGTCATTATAGTGTTACGACCATACGACGTACGGGAATGAGTTATCAGCTGTCTAATCGTAGACAACACAATGTCGAGCCTTAAACTGTAAGCCCGTATTGGTATTGTTTCTTTTATTTGGCTGTCGAACATTATTTATGGTTTGAAATATGATTTTATGTAAAATAATTGATATGAAAAAGCCGTCTTATAAGTTATGACCCCATTTCACCACACGCAAGTGGCAGAAATGCAGAAATGACAATGATCAGCTGACGCATTTTTCTTGGCCGAAGTCAGAGGCTGCACCACAAAGTATGAGCAGAAGCCGCGCCCAAAGCCAGGGCCCCGGTAACGTGAGGTAGCCGAGTCGGGGCAGCGTGCGCTGACCCAAGCCGGGGCCGCAGCTTTGGGCGCGGTCTACCGCATCCCCGCGGGCAGCCCCGGGCTATCACATGACACCGGGAGGACGCGCGGCTCCGGCTTGGGTCAGCGCACGCTGCCCTGACTCGGCTACCTCACGTTACCGGGGCCCTGGCTTTGGGCGTGGTCTACCGCACCACCTAACAGGCGTGTTCGAAACCGCAGGAGCTGATGATGAACGGGTTTATCGAAACTTGATTGGATGAGCATATCGGTAATAGCGATTTCAGTGTGTGCATTTATTGTTCATAGTGGTGTGAAATGTGGTTGGGGTACGACCGACAACCCGTCGGGGCGAATTTCGCACTGGGGTACTCAAAATTTGAAGAATTTAAGACGTTTCCATGAGTTTTGAAGGTATGGATAAGTTCTAAAAATCCGGTTCTCCTTATCTGGGCGATTAACTCCATACGGTCCAGGAAAGCTGGCACACTACCTTTAATCATTTTCCTTCTCCATGAAATGATTCTTTGCTACTGCAAATACAAGAGCAAGTAAATGCGAATGATTACAAACTAATTCTGATTAGAGCATCGGCTGCAAATCTGCTTGCATTGTAATGCACATTTACCTTTCTAAATACTGTTCTTGTCCTATCTGGGGTATATCACCGAACGTCTATGAAATTTGATTATCAAGATAGCTTGGCAAATTACTGCGGTGGTAAACACGATCGACTCGTGTGGTTCACGCAAAGTTTAGGAGCTCATGGTCCATCTCAATCATGTGTTGGTCCCAGAATCTGACGACTGAGATCGACACACGGCGTGTCAAAGATGACCAACGCACTACTGCATAGATCTCGGCTGCTGACAGGTGACTCGTGCCAACCGATAGCGATAGGTAATTCACGGCATGTAGCTCTGAATTCGCTGCTGCGTTTTGTGGTGTGGCAAACGCCATAAAACGCCCGGTAAGTGTCTCCCCCACAATCGCTATTGATACTAGGAATCGAGCGTTACTGTCCAGTCGGCAATAAATTCACCCACCGAGTTCTCTTCTACCCTGGTTTTAACGACCTAGTGCAGCCACAACTATCCGTGTGTGGTATAGCGATACCAATCTTATGTCAGATTACCGCAGCGAAAGTGAATCGAGAATCAGCCAGGTGTGAAGGTCTTTATCACGATCAAACGCTCTTCTGTAACTCTTCTGTAACTAGATATTCACCACGATGCAAGTTAGTGAATAGGGCTTGTGTACGGATAGAAGAGGGTTTATAAACAACCGTCACTAGCACCGCTTGTAAGAGTCCCATCCTATCTTCGAACTGTTTGCGTTTTTAATTATACTGCAGAATAAATATGAGCTCTGAGACTTTTTCAACTATTCAAAAGGCGCAAGTGTTCGTCGTCAGACATATCACGCAGCAGGTATATGGTGCGCCCATTGAATATCTCATTTTATGTCCCTATTCAAGCCGACGGACTTTCAGTTGCACACAAATGCACTGTCGTCATTAGAAGCGATTGTAGGAAATAATAACACAAACATATTGCTTATGCCAAAGGTGGATCCAGGAAGGCAAGCTCGGTCGCGGCGAGGGGGGGGGGGCAAACCATCGAAAATGTCTTTGTAAATTCCCAAAACTCCTCGGATTTCCATTCCTCCTCCACTTTTGGAGTTTGAAGTATCCTTTTCCTAACAAATGGTCTTTAATTTTCTTTCTTTTCCAGAAAAGTGACAAATTTTCATCAGTTCTGGGCGCTGCGAGGGGGCATCGGCTCCCTTGGATCCGCGAGAGGCCTGTGCGTCGTTTATTTGTCATATTTATTTTCCTAGTTACTGAATTGGAGTGTACAGAAAAATCGAATTTCAGATCCAATGCAACAACGACCGGGGACCCTACTTCTATATTGGCAGCATGACAGCGAACCATGCGCCCGCACATTTCCAGAGATTCGGTTACAAACGATCCACCATTCACCGTGTGTAGTGCGCTCAGAATGTCCGAGTTAATTTGTTTCAGTAATGGCAGGGGATACATCCATGATTCATCATAATTTGGTTATTTGCAAGCCATGAGACACTTATGGTAGTACAGGTAAAGTTATTAATTTTGAAATGGCATTCCCACCCGCAAAGGGGCAGGATGTTTATAGGCTCCAATGCATACTTAGTTCGCTTGTTATTAATGTTTGCTGCCCTTTAAATTAGTACCAAGGTGCCATTTAGCGGCAATAACTATTGACAATAGAACGGGAAGTGGTGTTCTAATAATTGACTTTGGACTTCGTCTACCCACGCAAAGGCTGTCGCGCTTCAAAGCTAAGGACACTTGTAACATGGAGTTTGTAGGTAATTTGGTTTGTGCAGCTGGTATTCAATTTTGTGTAAAAATACATTTACATTTGTTTTAAAGAGTACCTTGAAATTAAAACATTTCAATGGAATGCCTGATAAGCGAATATATGCATGAAAATAAAACACTCGATCGTGTCTGATAAGGAGACATATTTTAGGTTTGCTGCTAGGATTTTTATTTCTGTAGCTAAAGTAAACACGATCATTTTTCGGATGCAGTTGAGACACAGAATGCCATTCAAATTGCTAGACAGCTTGCTAATTGCTAGACAGCTATACATATAATGCAGTTGTCGAATATTCAGAAACTTATATCCTTTTCCTACATACCCAGTCGCACACACATACGAAGAGAACTTTCAGAGATGCCATAAGCCCGGCCCTCCCCCTCTCCATGGCGGGAGCACCCGGGGAGCGTTCTACGGGGTGAATAGACGCGGCGGCAGGGTCCGGCGAGGGGTTGTGATTTGTGGGCGCCCAGTGGAAGGGGCCGGGCCGGGCTGTGGGGGCTCACAGAGGGCCAGACTGAGTTTTGGGAGCCGCTGTGGCCAGTTCCCAGAGCAGGGGCAGAGATCGAGCAGTGAGCAGAACGATGTGAGGTGTGAGGAAGAGAATAAGTGAGAGGTGAACAAAAGCCAGCGGGTGTCGATCAGGAGCTAATGAACGGTGAGCTGAACTTTGTGATTCCTAAATAAGACTGCGAGTCTTGAACAGCATTCCGAGAACAGAGATAAGAAACCCGTGGCAGTGCTTAGAGGATTATGACCAGACTTACTTTTTTTCCTTTGAACGGTGAGAAGACAACACTGTGATAGTCTGCATCGAAAATATAGTGAATAAGAGGCTTGAAACCTTTAAGGCTATAGGGACGTTCCGATGGCTGTGAGTGAGCCCAATGCATAAACTGAAGGTCAGTGTGAAGCAGACAGCTGCTTAAAAAGTAAAAGCGGAACAAAAATTGATCCTTGACTAACGACTTTGTGGCCAGCTCATCTACTGAGGAGTAAGAGCCAATTACACTAGCTGACACTCATTACTGCACGGTTGTGGGCTGTGGTGATGTAAAAATCCACAAACAAACATCTGTAAGGCCGAAACAGCACTTGTAACTTACAAGCATGTGACATTGCACTGCACACTGTACAGTGCACAGGGTCACAGGTTCATGGGTAGCCTTTGTAATGACATGTGAGTTGTAGTTGTATATGAGAACCATAACCAGCAGGAAATTGAAATATGTACGACTGTGATAGCCACCACATAACCACCTAATGTGTACTCACTCATACGTTTCAAGCTTTGCACTGTCAGAAGCTAGCATTTTGAGCTAGTGCCATTACAGAGTAGCTGATATAGCCCAAAGCCGTAACTGCACTGTTGCCAAAAAGATGTTAATAACTTTTGCGACACGAAAATATTCCGACTCAGTTCAGATTACGGGTAATGAGTTGAACTTGCAGATTATGTTAGCAATGACGGTGATAACGATGACTGAGCAATTTATTTTCTGCTGGTTGAAGCAATTTAGATTATGGTCGTTTTTATCCATAATTTGTCAATAACTTTTCTACGGTGCTTTATTTTATGAGGTCGTTTCTATCCATGACTTTTAAATGCCTATCATCCGGTGTTATTTGTAAACAGAATTTCAAAAATCACACATCTGCACGTTTAACTGCAAGTCTTCTTTTCAAACAAAATAAATTGTTTTATGTCTTCAACTTTAGTTTAGTCATTTATGACTTAGGTATGTTCTAAAATTCATGCATTATGACCCGGGCTTCGTGAAAATAACGCAGAAATGAACACATGTAGCTATTGACACAGAACGGCAAGATATTATGTGTGCTATGGTGGTCATTTTCCCTTTTGTTGGTCAAAGAAGTTCAGTAATTTTTTCCTTGCAAACATTTTGCCCGTGGTTCATGCCTAATGCGCAAGCTTGCTATGGTAATATTTGTTGAAGTTTCTTTTTCTGCACTGGTAGGCGTGAATCTAGCAGTGAATTCAGTTTTTGGCTACGCTCAAAGATTATTTAGAAATGTTGGCAGAATAATTTATCTAACAATATCCTATTAAGATATGCATTATGCGCGTATCTGCTGTTGAAAAAGCCTGGCAATGCCAGGTATAACTGTATTTCTCTTTTTCATATCGCTTTAGATTGCAATTCGAGTGATCATATCGCTTCATGCACCGAAAATACAAATTTGAGCCCCTCATGTGTGATTATTTCAAGTTTTGGTGGGGAATCCCGTTAATAGCGAGCATTATTTCATCTAGCCGGTAAGGGCAGCAGCGGCGGCGGCGGCGGCGGCGGCGGCGGCGGAGTCCATTTTGCGTCCGGAGCCGGCGGCCGGGAACCAGTATGGCCGCCGCCGCCGCCGCCGCCGCCGCCGCCGCCGCCGCCGCCGCCGCCGCCGCCGCCGCCGCCGCCAGTCCGATCGACCCGCGATACGGCCCCTCTGCACACAGGCTATGTCGGCTGTGTCGGGCCCGACCGCGGCGTCTGCACCACGTCTAGGAATTTCCACAGCGGGGTCTGAACGGGAACGATAGTCAATATCGGTCACTGGGGACCGGGGTGGCGGCAAGGGTAGTCAGAGCTTCCGATGTGCGGTGGCGATCCTTTATCAAGCATAAATTTGGAAAACGCGTAAGAATGAGTGAAACTGTTTTGCCTAGACTAGAAACAGGGTAGTTTGGTAATTTCGGGTGACTTCTCCCGGGACCACGAGGTCCCCTTTCCTGTCACCCGCTGCCTGCCACCTGTCCATGTGACGCCAACTGCCGGGGCGGCCAAGGGTGGATCCATAAATATCCCAGCGTCGGTAAAAATTGCCCCACCTGGCTTGGACTTACAGGAATTATAAGTGAAATACGTCTCAGTAACTTTTTATGGTTATATTTTCTACGTGTCATCTGATTGATTTGAGACTTGAGTGCCATTGATCATGTCTCGCTTAGATTTAGGGATAGTTGTATATGAATTAAATAAGCTCACGTTAAATTTAAAAATGCCTCCTATAAGATGCATAAGTTAGAACTGAGCCATCGTCGTCCCAGCAAATTTGCAGACATTTGTAACTTTGCAGACAAAATATTTCTGTTGCTTTTGTAATAAGAATAAAGGGAGCTAAAACCTTCATATTTGTTGCGAAAAATTTGTGTTAAAGTCATTACGAAGAATAAAAAAAACATAACTGTCATTCTGGTGTTCCGTATTTGAATTAAATTCCTTTATTATTTTCAATTAACTTAAAAAAGAAAGTAAAGAGTTCCGAAGTGACTCAATCACACGTCGATTATTTTTTGACGCAGGCAGCTCCAAATCATTTATTTATATTTATTTCATTTTTTTCGAACAATTACCAACATGACAATAAACCCCTTTAAAAGGTGAAGATAATTGAGATAAAATGAATCACTAAGTCACGCAGTTACTATCAGAATATAAAATCGCCATGGGTCACAGGCCACAGCAACTACCACAGTTGGTCACGCACATAACAGATCACCGCGCGTTTAAAAGCAAAAACAAAAAACTTGTCGTTAAAATCTATGGGAAGAACGTCTCAATCCTCCAAAACATAATTGAAGATGGACCGTGACGTCCATCTCCCAATTTGATCACAAAAAGAGAATGTCATCACGTAGCGATTGATCAAATTAACTTTTTGAACGACGCTATGTACTGAGGCTGAATGCTTCTTTAATTATGACAAGTCCAAGAAAATTTCACCGATAAAATCTGACGATCATTTATGGTCCACCCGCCTCGCACAATGTCGTTTAAAAAAAGATATTTACATTTAAAAAACGTTGCTCTCCAATTTCCGTCATCGAATAATGCAATTCTGGTGTGAAAAAATCCAACAAATGGCATTTGTGCTTCAGATAGCTTTTTAAAGCTTAAAATGAAATTACATTATCGTCATGTAAGCAAAAGCTAACATCAAGTCAGTAGTTATATGTTACTAGCTGATGCATCATTCACCTAAGACCTAACAAGAGGGTATGAGCACTAACATTATAAAAGCAGGGCGGCATACTTCAAAGGTTAAAAATAGCTGTCCGCAAACGAGCCAAGCTTGGTTGGGATTTAACCATGCGATCAGTTTTATCATCAAAGACGGAATATTCACATGACGTCTGTTTACCGTTCAGAGCATCTTCATTTTGATTTGCTCCTCGCAAAGCTACTCTCAGAAAAATAAAAGTTATGCCCTATTTTCGTACAACTATATTTTAGCCAATGCAGTAAATGGTAGCTATATGAGTTTGTATACCCTCTCTTACCCACCAGCATGACCTATGAATCCTCCTAATACCCGTGGGAACACCAAAGAGTGTATCACGCTGGGCGATGAGCCATCTATCACAAAGTGTCCTTAACGAGCACTAAATCCCCCGATGATGGACATGTCTGACCGAACTTGTCAGCCGATCGTAAAGCCGTGGCGAGTTGTCTCTTCCCGGCGCTTTAGTGTCATGTAGTTAACCCTTTACCACCTCGCGCTCAGGTTTATAGACCTTAACGTTTTATGATAGCGCGGACCCTCTTGGGCCGGTCATTGACACGCGTCCCGAGCGTCGAATAAAAACCCACCCTCGCAACTCAAAGCGGTCGCTGCTGGGTGGGCGATGCGCCCGAAAACGGCCTCTGAGATGGCCGCCGCGCCGCCACCGGTCGTACTCACCCACATTGGTACTCCGAGCGGCGCGAACGGGCGCGAGCAGCACGTTCCCGGCACCTGCACAGTCCACCGCAGCCACCGCCGACTAGCACCGCTTGCAGGGCGCGGACGGCGGCAGCGGCGGGCGGCGGCAGGCGGCCACTCTGCGTCGGTGCAGCCCGCGGCGGCGGCCGGCGGCGGCGGCGACCTGCAATGGCGGCTGACGGCTGGTGACCCGGCGGACGGCCGGCGCGGACCCTGGCCTATGTGCGTGTCCACAGCCCTGTGCGTGATGAAGATGACCGGACGCAACAGCGCCCGGTGCCGATGACGTCACAGACGGTTGGCCGCGTCGGGCGGGCAGGGTCGGACGGTAGGACGGGGTCGGACCGAGGCGGGCAGGGCCGGGCCGGGCCGGACCGGGCGGCGCCGGTCGGCCAGGGCTGCACCAGGAGCCGCCGCCAGCCCTGTAATTTGCCGGTGACGTGCATGGCTGGCCGCTGTATTTGGAGGCTCCACTGCCGGCCCGGCAATTATTACCCGCCCGTGGTTGGTCGAATGGAAAACGTAATTGGGCTGCGGGATGATTTGCGCGCCGTTTAGCACATCGGTCACATCCTTTGTCGGAGGATAAGGGCATCTCTGCTTACAAAGTCTCAACATGAGCCACATCACCGGCCACGGTTATGTTCAAAATGTGTCTACGTGCATACTACTTACCTGCCATTTGTTTGTTCTTGTCGCTTTTGTGGGCAGATGCCTTCCTTTCTCAAAGTAAATAAGAATGTGCAACAATGGAAAGCAATCACTGTCACCATCACTGCTTTGTTCAGTGTCTCGTCGTTTTCTGCCCATTTTTTTTTGCCGACAAATCAATAAGGCGTATATTTTGTTTACGAAATTTACCCATTGTTGACCAAGCTTCTCATGGGTCAAAAGAACAGCGTTGACATCATGACACCACTTGTTTGTTTTTGTTGATTCTCGGTGTGCGTTGGACTTGACATTGTACGGCGGAGCACCTTGTTCACCACTTCTTTTGCTCTCTTCTTTATTGTTTAAAAATTATTTGCATTTCAGCAAAATGCAAGGGATGTGTCTTTACATTTGAATGCTTCATGTCTAAACGAATGCAACGGATCTTCAATAGACCCCTGCTCTGTGCCGTTGTCTTACAATGCGATTATGCCTACCTACATAGCCGTCTCATGTAGCTACATTACCAGTAGCATGTGTACAATTATAACTTACAGCCACATCGGGCCAGATTGTACCTACCTGCATCGGCTAATTACACCAGCTAATTAAGTGGGAGGGGCGTTCTTAGTGCCCGCCTATCTTCAGAGTTGACTAGCCGTTGGATAAGATTACCAGTTCCTGGTACAGCCTGATACCGGCACAGCCCTAAGCAAACATTCCAGTGTGGTGTATTTTGTTTATTATTTACCGCTTCGTCCCACTAGGGACCGCAAACGCATCGTCAATTTACTATAACCAGTGCCACAACAGAAAAACACACACACTTCCCGAATTGCACTCCAATTCGTTTTCGAGCATTTAGACAGCACAACACTCTCAGCTGTTTCCTTCCCCCCCGAAGCTGCTCCAAACACACAACCCCACACACAGACAGACACACAGACACACGGTCACAGATGCAGCCGCACGGCCGGGGGACGCGGCGGCGGCATTCGGAGTCGGCTGGCGCTCGCAGCTGGCTCCCATTGCTGTCACATAGCTCTTCGCTCGCAGCGAGCGGCCTGCTGCACACAGGGCGCATTCCGAGCCGGTCCAACCCGGCGCAGAGGCACCGCAGAGGCTGGGCGGCTGGGTAGGCTGGTCTGGTCTGGTCTGACCCGGTGCGGCGCCGCGGCTGAGGCAGACGGCAGGGCTGAGACGGCTCGGCGGCTGGGTAGGGTTGGGCGGCTGAGACGGCTAGGCTGGGACGCCGCTGGTCTGGTGGTGGTGGTCGCTTGTCTGGTCTGGAAGGCTGTGGAAGGTAGCTCTGGAGAGAACAAGATAGAGGGAAAAGAGAAAGAGAGAGATAGAGAGAGAGAGAGAGGGAGAGAGAGACAGAGAGAGAGAGAGAGAGAGAGAGAGAGAGAGAGAGAGAGAGAGAGAGAGAGAGAGAGAGAGAGAGAGAGAGAGAGAGAGAGAGAGGGTAGGCGGAGACTTCACCTGCCTGATATGGTGACAATAGACCGAGTATGACACACAATATCGGCACCATGATCGCTCATGTATTGTATTGATGCATCGTATGAAATTCACGAAAAATATAAAAAGGCAGTTACATAAATGGCGTACCGGTTTCGTCTCCACGACTTCATCAGTGCCATTACATCGAAAAATCGCCAGGTTTTTTTTTAATTGATCTGGCATGCATTGTCAAATGCATTGATATTGCGTTTGATCAGGGAAGGGAGCGAACTCCCTCCCTTCTTTCCATTGCAAAAGGCTTCAACTACTCGTCGCTCGAACAATGCCTCCTTAGCTTCAGCCAAGTGTTGATCGTTCAGTTGCCGCATGCACATGCGTGCTAGGAGGCTCGGCGTCGTGCTAAAATACACTAGAGCGACCGTACGAGTATATAAGAAGCTCGTGCCTTTTTCTTTTTAACATCAGAATAAACAGATGGTTCGTTTTACGTTATGATATTATTCTGCTCTCGGACGGTGTCATCGTCCTCTCTGCTCGTGTCGTCCAGCACAGTTCACCCTTTTCCCCTGGGAGTCTGCGAGACCTTCAGACAGGTGTCTGGGTAGATCGGGAAAAATGACGTCCCTGCAATGGGTCATTGTCGGAGGAATAAAAAAGATGTTCTCAAAAGTACCTAACGGAATAGTGGCTTATAGTTAAACAATAAAATGTATACAATAAAATGGTAAATTACCCTCGGATAAGCTAACATTAGGTACTGAAGGTCATGGACTGTTCGATAGCCCCACTGATGAACCTATGGCGTCTTGTACCTATTAGCCGATGGTAGTGAAGGACGCCGTTGCTAAGGGCCACTGAGGCGTGCAGGAAGGGCTACTGCCGCACGGCAAGATCAAGGCCATAGAACTAGGTGAGATGCCTCCCCGATCGTCCGGGTACGGTCTCTGTCTGCCCGGGTCGGTGGCTGTGCTCCCGTACCAGTAGGTTTACAGCCCCTGGCTCGTTCACCTCCCATAAACGATCCCTGCGACGACCAATAAACTGCTCAACCACTAACATGCCATTGAGGACTGAAGCGCTCACAAAACAGTAGTGAAACTGAACCTGATGGCAGCATTTGTGGCCCGTCTGGGAATCTGCACAGGGTCAATGTGGTGTGCTTGATGGCATCGGTGAGCGCCATATTCATTTTATCTGTAGTTAGCTGTGTTCATTGGATAGCTGAGGCGGAGTAGGAGCTATTGGAGGTGAGTTGAAGTGGTTGGAAGCGAAGGAAACCTGTCTAACGGATGTGTGGAGCCGTATGACGTGGCCTGCACGTGTGCATGAACGAATGTCGTGCTTTTATCACGGGCGCGAGGGTGGCCCGCTGCTGGATTTAAGTGTCGGGATAATGTCGTGACGTTTGATGATACACTGATTTGGATTATAGTGTTTGTCGTGAATGCGATTTCCAACTGATGTATTGTGATTTCACGTGTACAGAGGCATTCAGTCGTAATGCATAACGAAATTATTTGGAACTTATGCAAGTGCTTACCTCAATTACATAAATTAAAAATGAATTAATGGCGTCGTAAAGAGCGAAAATAATTTAGTTATCTATATATGATACAGGGAAAATCTTGGCATGAGCGATTCAGCCCGGCTCGACCCAGCATGCTATGATTTCGAACAAATTATAGACTCGGGACCGTGGCACTCATTTGACAAATAGCCTTATGTTTGGCAGGCCCATCCCACAACGCATTCAACCGCCCTCAATGCATCTGCAGGTTGTTGTCACAGCACGTAGATTCACTAACAGCCAAGTGCCAAAGCAAGAATGAAAAATAGGTTTCCATTAGCCAAGCCATGACATGACAATGACATCCCATCCTCTGTAACCCTGATCAATTTCTGTTATTTCTTATTACCATGATCGAAAATGTTTTTTAAAATGGCATTGCATTTAGAGAGGGGAGCGATCCCTCTTCCTTGTCGTTTTCTTTGAATGCAAGAATAGCGTTTCAAAACGGATCCGATGAATCAGAACAGTGCCACACGAACTAACTTTCTACCTCGGAGGTGTCTGCTTTTTCTCAGAGCAGACCTCGCGCTGCATGCTCCCGACCAGGTGTCATGTGCGGAGTGCGGAGAGGCGCCACAGGAGGCAGAATACCACGTGAGTCAGACGAACCCTGCCGCTACCTGAGATCAAACTGGGGAGGAGGGGGGGGGCGCACAGACCACCCCACCCGTCCTGCGAGACCGCAACAGACCCCACGAACCGCAACAGAAGACAGCGCCGGCAAACTGCAGGCGCAGCCAGGGGGAAGGTCTGTGTAACATCACCTGAGGTGGGCCACGGCTGGGCGAAGGGGAGCAGACGAGAAGGAGCGATTGTATACCAACGTGAGGTGCATGTTAACACGACTGAAGGTAGATAATGCATTGAACATATATGTTTTTTGAATGAATATAGGTACCTGCTGAAATGGAGCTGGAAGCTGGATGCATGCATAACGTAAGCTTCATTAAAAATATTATGTTCTGCTCTACAATAACAGGACTGAATAAAACAGAGATCTAGTTTACATAATTGTCCGTAGATGAACGCACTGGCTCGAGCAGCTATAAAATTGTTTTACACATTGGAACGGTGATATTTTGCCCTGTACTTATATCTATTTTTGATGTCGTCCTTTACCAACAGTTGTACTACAGCACATGGCGGCGGAACGGGAGGGGGCATCCGGGCACCGTGCCCCCCTCTTGATTTTGCCATTTTAACATTAGCCCTATGGGCGTTGCATGGAAAGAATGGGACAAAAAGTCGGCAGTGTCCCCCCCCCCTAATTGAAGGTGTTCCGTCGCTACTGCTACAGCATACGTGTCATGCTTAAGTCGTGCTCCCATGCTATGTAACACAGGTAAGCCACGAACTCTGCTCTATCGCATTCGTTCCCAGTGGCTGCAAAAAATTTGCAGGCGCAATTCGCTCTTTTCTAATA